TGATATAAAAAGGTAGAGAAGAAAAGGATGAACAAGGAAAGAGGAGGATGAAGAAGATAAAGAGGAAAGAGAGAAAGGAGAGGGGGAAGAGGGATAGAGAACCGAGAGAGAAGAGGGAGGGGGGGAAATGAGATTTTTTTTTTTTTTTGCTTTTATACCATGTACAACTTGTGTACATGGTGTGTACACTAAGCAAAATTCATCCTCAAAAGAGGTTGAATCCTCACCACAAAGGTCACCCCGCCACAACTCAATAACACGTATGAGAGATTGTAAATTATGGTGATTAAGTCAGTTCAATAGTGGTAGATCGTGTACTTGTGGGCACTTTAAGTCTAGTCCAACACACATGAGCTATAACCTCCCAAAAATGATGTTTGTATTCACTCTTATATACTCACTTTTATACTCACTCATGTTTTATTTGTGTAAATTTTGCACAGACAGAAAAAACACATAAAAAATCATTTACAAACATGATGTCATGCTGGGTATAAGGGTGGGTACATCAAGCATTGTTGATAACCTCTGCACGGGCGCTGGAAGTTTCGATCTTTTATTATTTCTTCAACTTTCCCACCGCTCAACTAACTGAGCTATCCGTGCGGAGGTTGATAGTTGAAGTATATTTTGATACTTCAATACGGAAATCCAGTCCAACACACAGGAGATATAACCTTCGTACGGTCGTCGGAAGTTTCGATCCTTAATCATTTCTTAAATTTTCCCATCGCTCGACTACCTGAGCTATCCGTGCGGAGGTTGATAGTTGAAGTATTTTTTTACACTTCAATACGGAAGGAGGAGGTTTTTGTCAAAAATACAATTATCCATAAATGTTTCATTTTTTTTTATTTCGTTCTAGAATTATAATCAAAAGATGAAAGAGTTCATGTAAATACCGAGTAGGTAGCACAGCATTTTTTTTGGAAGAAAGCAACTTAATACATCATTTTTTGTTGCACGAAAACTAAATGAGTTAAACAGATCAAGTTTTTCACAAAAGTTTTGTCGTTATGATAATCAAACCATCACAAAAATCTGTACATACATGAACTAATGAACTAATAGTAGTATGCTAACAATATGATTTTGGTTTATATTTTAATGTTATTGAAACATTATTGAAAATGCGTGGGCTTTTTAACTATTTCGAAAAGAGATTATTACAAATGTCAATACTAAAAAATATCAGTACTAATTGTTGCCACTGGTTGCGCCACCCCCCCTGTCACACCATCATTGGGTGACACTTCTATGACTAAGCTAGTTTTCATTTTCAAGAAAGTTAAGACAAGTGACCAGGTGACATTAAGGACACGTTTACTTCATGAATTAGTAAACGGTGCTTATTAAGACTCGCGTTAATAAGCGGCACATAAAATAAGAAGTGTTGTAAGCTCATGTTTACTTCAAATGATTTAAAACACCGTTTAACATTAAAATGTCCAAAATAACCCTATAGATATATACACACACAAACATTCATCAACACAAGTATATAATATAATATGTCGGGTCACCTCGTACGATTAGTCGCTCACCCACACTCCTACCCCGCTCTGTGCCCCCACCCCTCACCCTACCCCCAATTCCACACCCTTGACCCCCAACCCTTCCCTAACCCCTACCCTTACCACGACCTTAACCTCCACCCCTACTCCCACCACATACCCCTAACCCCCACCCTACTCGTAGGGGTTGGATCGAGGTAGGGACAGGTGATAGGGGTAAAGGGGTAGGGCTCGTGGTATGGTAAGTGGGTGGGGTCGGGGTGGGGTCGAGGTAGGGGCAAATGGTAGGGGTAAAGGGTAGGGTAAGGGTGAGGGTGGGGTATGGCAAGTGATGGAGGGTAGGGTCGAGGTAGGGAAGTGGGCGTGGGGTCGGGTCAAGGTAGGGGAAGGTGGTAAGGGGTAAAGGGGTAGGGTAAGGGGTGAGGATGGGGTAGGGCAAGTGGTGGAGGGTAGGGTCGGGGTAGAGTAAGGGGGTAGGGGCTGGGGTGGTAGGGTAAGGGCTGGGTAAGGTAGTGGGGTAGGGGTAGGGGTGGGGTCGAAGTAGGGGCAGGTGGTAAGCGGTAAAAGGGTAGGGTCGGGGTAGGATAAATGTAAGGAGTACTAGTGGGGGTGGGGTATGGTCGGGTCAATGGTGGGGGTGGGCCGGGGGGTCAGGGTGAGGTTGGGGTAAGGTAGGGTAGGGCGGATAGTGGGTAGCAATAGGGTAAGGGGTAAAGGTAAGGGTAATTTTGGAAACTGAAAAAGCTTAAAGTGCCTCTTAATTAATACATGGGGGCTGGTCTGCTTAGTAAGTGACACTTTAAGCATCTCTTTCAGTTAGTAAGCAGCGTTTTAAGCAACTTGCGTGTTTACTCCACATGTCTTACTAACCTAACTGTGACTCTAACAGCGAAGTAAACGTCTCCTAAGATAGTATATATATGCGATTATTGAAAGTTTATTGTGAGAGGAAAACTCTTTTGGGCATATATTCATTCTCAACTATATATTATGCTCATTGAGAAAAACTAAAGTTTTATTTTGGACATTCATTCTCAACTTATTTATTAAAGTTAGACAACAACACTTTAAACACTCTATTGGTCATTTAAATGATAAGATAAAATCACATGCGAAAGATCAAGATTTATATGAAAACATTACAAGAAGAAGATATATTATTAGACAAATAGTAAAAGATGGTGATAGCGGGGTGAACTAATTCACAACTCTTACCCTTGAAAAAATACGAAGTATACATTACATTTTTTATTATTAGCAGTTAGGGAAAATGGGAATATTTAAACTCATATGTCATAGGTTTGAATATAACTCTGTGGCAAATCACATGAAAAATTAGTTTAAACTGGACTTTTTTTTCAAATAATTAAGTACAATAAAATATATTTGAAACATAACTCGTTTTTGCGGAATTAGTAATTTTATATAGGTGACTAATGAGACAAACCTATTAAAAACAGCGATAATTTTAAAAATTTAGAATTACTTCGTTATCTTTTTATCAATAAAGAATAAATTAAAGTTGATCTTCATTAAAAAAAAAGAATAAAGTTGATCTACTTATCTTTCCTCATTTCTTTACACTGAATAGGTCAATACCCCTACACTAATTAAGCACCCATTACGGAGTATATTGTTATTTAAACATGGGGCTAATCAATGATGGTCCCTCCATTTAGGGGAAAATAGAGGCAACTTAATATAGTGGTTATGGAGATTGGACAACAAATGGTCCACAATTTGCCTTGAAAATGAGTATGTGACCACCTTCTCTTTCTCTAATTAAAAATCATTTCGGCCTAAGTCTCCATCAAAGCACTTAGTTATGAAAGTAATAATTGTAATAATATTACTACACTTGGTATTAAACAGAAGCCTACAAAGATAGTTTTAGAATCAATAGTTTTAGGACCAGAGGGCCTTATGGCCGTGTTTGGGGTTAGCGAGAGGTCGCATTCCATCCCCTCGTGATCCAGTTGGGACCAGCCTGGATGAGTGGCCTGGCCCAGTGGCCCAACCTTCCCTTCTTTTCCCTTAAGATAAATTAAAAACATCGGGTGAGTTAAAAATTAAGATAAAATTGATCATATGGTAGGGCAAAGATGTTTTTACTTGAATTGATTTCAGTTTCAGACTAAATCAGATCAAATCATATTAGATTAGATTTACTAAACTAGAACAATTTAGGTTGGACCAAACGAGACATAAATATGCCATATAAAAAATTCAATACAATTAAAAACATACTAGGGTTTGATACGGCTTCTGGACAACCCTTCTCACCATTCTAAAGAGATATTTTAAGAATTGAAAATAATGCAATTGGGATTTGTTTGGGAAAAAATATTCCTGAACCATATTTTTGGTTTCTTAAAAGAAACAGACAATTCATGGGGGGGGGGGGGGGGGGCTGACGGAAAGGAAATATATATACCTTAATAGTATTAGAGTGTTTATTTAGCAAATTGGGATATCCAATATTTCCTAGAGAAAGAAGACACTTACCTGCATTTTTTCAGAAATCAAATGCATAACATCTAAAAGTATTGTTTGTTTTTAATGAACTAAAAGTATTGATAAAAAGTTATTACTTAGTTTTAGAATAGTAATAATTTTTAAATATAATATGAAAACTTCAAGATAGTTAAAGAATGGATAGAAATGAGGCAATGGAGATGAATAAAAGAAGAGACATATATCTACATTTCTATAGATTAAAAAGGTGTAACATAGAGGGTTACAACAGGCTTTTTATAGATAAAAGGTTTAACATAGAGGGTTACAACTTTTTTATAGATTAAAATGTGTAACATAGAAGATCATTCATATTGTTCTAGAATTGAGAGAAGTATACAAGATGGAGGAGAGATTATATACGTGTATCTTTTTACACATTGAAGGGGGTAGTATATAGAAGGTTACATGCATCTACCTTTTTATAGATTAAAATGTGTGACATAGAAGGTTATTAGTATTGTTTTATACCGAGTATCTTGATAGGCCAAAGTATTACTAATTTCAAAGGGAGGTCAAAATACTCTTCCGGATTTGAGTACTCCTCCATCTTAGGTAATCTCCAATAGTTTACACCATTTTGTACACTAAAATGGTGTGAACATCACATCATACAATATTTTATCTCCAACCGTTTACACCATTTTCATCACCAAAAAGGAATATTCCTTTTTTACTCTTTTTACTAACTTTTTACCATTCTTCTATTTAAGTATCTAATTATCATATATTTATACATTAGCCCCTCATTTAATATTTTGACATTTCACACATTATTTCACACATACAAACTAAAATACACCATTTTAATATGTATTTTCACGCATTTCACTAATTAAAATACAATAATCAATATTTCAAAAATACAAGCTAAAACCACATAAAATTAAATATTACAATAATATTATAATAATTTGTACGTCATTAATAAAGTACTACTTAAACTTAAAGCAATACATTAAATAAACATTCTTAGTTTTAGTTATCGGAAATTGAGAATTGTTTCCACAAATGAACAATTAAAGCATTGTGGAGCTCAATATGAGCGTCTTTGTCGTGAATTTGGTTATGTCGGCTAAGAAATTGAGTGAATTGTGCCGCCTCATCAAATGTCACTTCAATATCTGGAACTGGTGTATCTCTCACATCTTCAATTGGTGCATGCATATCACGTTCATTTTCTATTATCATATTATGCATAATAATACATGCACTCATTATGTCGTGTAAGACTTTTTTCTCCCAAAAATGTGAAGGTCCTGCAATAATTGCAAATCGGGATTGCAATACTTCAAAGGCACGTTCAACATCTTTTCTATATGCTTCTTGTCTCATGGCAAAATATTTTTTCTTTCTACCTTATGGTTGATGAATTGTTTGAACAAGTGTTGACGACTTTGGATATATATCATCCGCTAAATAGTAACCGACATTATACTATTTTCTTTGAATAATATAATGAGCGGGAGGAGAAATACCTTGTGCTAAATCTGAAAAAATATTGGATGCCTCTAAAAGATAAGAATCTGATGGTTGTGAAGAAAAAAGAAATCCATCCAACAGGTAATGTAATGATTCCCTAAATATGATTTATTGATGAATTTTTTTGAGCATCTTCTTCATTAAGTCCAGTTTACCCATACCAAATTTCAGATAAAAATTCAACTGGGAAGAAAGTCAAATGATTTTCCGCAATTCATTTCACTGCCTTCCCGGTTGAATTATTCTCGAAGTCTAGTTTACTCACACCAAATTTCATTTATTAATTCAATCGAGAAGGCAGTTAAATGAATATTTGAAGATAATCGTGCAGTTAAACAGCGCGGTGCATTTCAGAAAATCATTTGACTATCTTCCCGGGACAACTTTTATCTGAAATTTGGTATGGGTAAACTAGACTTAATGAAGACGATGTTAAAAAAATCATCCAAAAATTCCAATGGAAACTGCACTAAGAAATCTCACCAATAACGTATACCGTGTATATAGAATGATGAATCCATGAAGAACAATTACACAGTACTCAAATGAATAAGCTAGAGAGAGAATTTCTATTCTACGTGCTCTACAGAGAATAATATGCGGAAACAGAATGTGTAGAGACTTAGAGCCCGTTTGGTGACCCCTTTTTTCATCTTATTAGGCTTATCAGTCAGCTTTTTAACCAAACACGTAACTTTTGATTTCGCGCACTGAATTGTGTAATAAGCAGAAAAAGTAAGGTTGGAGTTACTTTTCTGGCTGTATTGGCTGAAGTTACTGTAAAGGAACATTTTAGCTATTCTTTCATATAATTTTTTATTTTATTTATTAATAACAAATATTTTAAATATAATTTTTCATGAATCAGCAGAATCAGCCAATACAGCCACTTCAACCAGAACTTCATAAATTTCAGCAGAATCAGCCAATTCAGCCAATTCTAGTATTACCAAACAGACTCTTAGAATTCTAGCGTGAGAGCTTCGAGAATGATATGACTATTCTAATTGTGAAACCCTTAGCCTGTTCGGTCCATTCCCCTTCTATTTATAGAGGGATGGCCGAACATCCTAGTTAAAGTAGGATCAGGGGCGGATGGTGCCTTGGCCAGGGGTGGGCTTCAGCCCAGCCCAATTTTTTTTTTTAATAGGATTGGTTTATTTTTTGTTCTCAGCCCACCCTAAATTTAAATGTCAGCCCACCCCACAAATAATTCCCAGCCCAGCCCAGAAAAATCAGCCCACCTCTGCCTAATTCCTAAATGCCTAAGCCTCTTACGGTCTTACCGTCGGTCTCCCCTGCGGATTGCGGAAGTGAGGGAAGTCGAACGAAGTAACGAACGAAGTGGGCGAACTGGCGAAGGGCGAACTCCGGCGAAGGCAGCACTGCAGCAGCGACTCAGCGACGCGGCCGACGCCAGCGAGCAGCGACCGAGCCGTCCGAGCGACACCCAGCGAGCAGCGACCGAGCCGCCTCTTCCTCTGCCCGACCGGAGACCGCGGAGGCGCGGACCGCCTCTTCCTCTGCCCGACCGCGGACCGCCTCTTCCTCTGCCCGACTGCCCGACCAGGTAAATCCTCTGACCTCTTTGTTGTTTTCAGAATTTCAGGGATGAAGTGTTGAATTTTTATTGTGAATCAGTGAAGTTATGAACTTCTGCTGTGAATCTGTGAACTTTGAATGAGTGAATCTGTGAATTGTGCATTTTAGGTTGAACAATACTAGTAATTTTAGAATTTAGAGTGAATATGTGAATTGTGCATTTTAGACTGAATGAGTGAATCTGTTAAATATTTTTTATATAAGTTTTTTAATTTATACCAATATTGAAAATGTTTTTTTAGAATGGATAATGAACATGTTGCGAAGAAGGGAAAGAAGTTGATTTCATCATTCTTTTCAAAAGTGAATCGTCAAACCGGTGAAGGAAGTTCTGAACCTATACCTACGATAGTGCAAGATCTAGATTCTATTATTGATGAATTTTATACTTTGAAGTCGCGTAGGGCACAACTTAAATGATGTTTTAATGAATTTGTAAGCGTTGACGACTTGACTTATTATTATTTATGTGTATTTCAATTTTTTTCCCAGCCCACCCCATTGTAACTTTCTTGATCCGCCCCTGAGTAGGATGAGCTGGATTAATCTAATTAAATGGCCCCTAATTAATTATAAAGGCCCACTAATTCTATCCTACTTAAACAAAGATAAATCTAATTAAATTGAACACAATAAAATATATTCTAACACTTGGACCTTATCAACCGAAATTGAACTTTTACAAAGGCTGAGTTTACAAAGATAGGATGCGTCGTTTTCAAGCAGAAAATATGGAAAGGCAGAACACTTCAAAATGGTTACAAGATTAATTCATCTTGTACTGACTTTACCCGTTTCGACTGCAACAACAGAAAGATCATTTTCTGCAATGAAACACGTGAAGAATGAAATTCGTAACAAGATGAAAGATGAATTTCTTGCCGATCGTTTGACCATCTTTATTGAAAAGGAATTTGCCAACAAAATCAACGTTGAGTCTGTCATAGATGAGTTTGCTAAGGTCAAAGAGCGTCGTGTTACGTTAACGTTTTAGTTTCAAACATTGTATGTATTGCTTAAAAAATGTTACTATGAATTTTAATAGACTTTAATCATTATGTTTACACTATTGTCGCTTTTAAAATTTTTATATAATGTTTTTAGTGTATAGTCGACCCAGGGTAAACATCCGTCCTGCCTACGCCCCTGTGTGCAGTATATTTTATTTAGATGAGTTTCAAAGTTACGACCCAGGGGGTGTTTGGATTTGATTCTTAAAACTGCTTCTGCTCCTTCAGGGAGCAGAAGCAGAAGTTGGAGTGTTTGGGTAAAAGTGTAGAAGTGATTCTGGTGCTCTAATTTAGAAGCTGGAGGTGATCAGCTTCTGAAAACTGATTCTGATTCTGCTTCTGCTTTAAAAAAGAAGCAGAATCAGAATCAGTTCCAAACACCCCATACTGTGTTATCAAACTAAAAAGTACTTAGACACATTTTTTGTATTGTTTGAAGGTTTTTTGACATTTTTTATATTTAATAACGGTTATGAAATGGAGTAAAAACCAACAAACATCAAACAAATAGGTTATATTGTGAGTCACACGTTTATCACATTGAAATCATACTTTTAAAAAAGTTATATTTTGTTTACGACTAGTGTATCACCTGGGGGCATGCCCCGGTAGTGTCACTTTGATTTAAAATTGGTTTTCAACTTCTTTACTTTTAGTGCAGTAGCTCGTTCTCATGTAGAATCACCCCTATGCCACGAAGAGTTTTATGGAAAAGCTTTACTCCAATATTATTTTTCTTTAATAGTGCTTATTTTTATTTTAGTTAGATTAGATTTGGTTTGAATATTTTGAATTTTGATGGAGTACTTTTGATAGGGAGTGTTTTGGTTCCTGACTTTTTAAACTTAAAATGGCAGGTTTTGTATCTATCAAATCAGGTTGCTTTATATGAGGTGATTGTCTCTAAGTTTATATGTTGTCTTTTATGCTTTCTTGATATTAATATAAATGGTAGGTCTTTTATATTAAAAATCTCCTTTTAGCCCGATAACCCCGATTTGATCTTCAACAACCTAATGTAAATTAAGTTCAATTTCCTAGCATATGTTTGGGATTGTTTGTTGGGAAAACAATTTTCTAGTCAAATTAAAGCAAGTTTTGAAGTGGATTCATTGATTTATTTTAATTTGAAATTTTTAATATACCATTGATTTCACTAATAATACATTTAAGTTACTTTGGTTTTTTTTCATATAAGTTGTTTTTATTTTAGATAACAACATACAATTTTCCACTATAAGTTAATGTGTTTTAAAAAATTGAAATGATATCCCACTTTACAGAATTACTCCATAAATAATAATAGTAATAATAATATGACAATTGATAAGTATAATTTTTAAAGTTTAATTAGCACTAAGTAATACATGATAAAAATAAACGAGCTGCAGAAAAAGTGTAAATTTTAATTACAATTTACAATTACCAAGCAAGAAACATGTGTAGTTATATAGATACTGGATTTTATGCTAGTGTTGCAATACTCTATTCTAATATGTTTATATTTGTTTGTAAATAAAAAAAACATGTGCAGTTATATAGATACTGGATTTTTTTTATATTTGTGTAAATATTTTTTATTTCAGTGCTACACTGCCTGTACTTCTTAAAGTCATTCGTGGTTCATGTCACACAATAGTTTGTAGCTTTTTTATGTTATTAAATAATACCCCCGTCCCAATTTACTTAGCTATCTTTGATTTTTCCAGTCAAAGGTGGTAAATTTTTACTAATTATTTAAACTAATATATTTTTGCAAAATTTAATAATTTTATACTTTAATGTTAGTATTTTTGAGTTTTTTCTCAAAATAATGTGAAAACAAAAAAATATTTTCCAAATTAAATACTTTATTGACCACTTGAAGTGGCGGCTTAAACAAAGAGAAAGCACTTTGCTTAAGGAAAGAGAGAGCACGTTATGGGGCAAGGCCAAAGCAAAAAAAATAAGGTAATGAGTCCCACCCAAAATAAATTCTCTAATTTTCTTTAAAGTGTCATAATTTTTTTAGTTGTACTTCGATTGTTAAAAAAATATATCAAAATTCATAATTTTTTATTACCTTTCATATGACACCAATAACGAATATATAAAAAATAAAAAATAATTTAACACTTTAAAAATTATCTGCTTTAAAACACTATAACTTTTTTATTTGTATTCCGATTATTACAAAAAATATATCAATTTTTTTTATTTGTCTTTCATATGTAAGCAATGTTTTATATGTAAAAATAAAAAAATAATTTAACACTTCAAAAACT